AAGTCCTGGCTCATGCTGGGTTCCAGGAGCTACCCTGCTGTGGCTCTGCAATGAAAGTATTTTAGGAGCTGGGTGGGCAGGTATTCTGACTCAGTCCTGGCTGGTGCTGGGTCTAGGAGTGACTCCCACTGAAGCTCTGCAATGAAAAAGCTGCAGTAGGAGTAGCTCCCAGACCTAGCATGAGCCAGGACTGAGCCTGCAGAACAGCTGGGACTGAGCTGGGCTGCAGCCCACCTGCAGAATCACAGCAAGGGTAGCTCCTGGGACCCAGCACCAGGTGGGACTGAGCCAGGCTGCTGACTAGCCCTCTAAAAAATTTACTGGCTGGGGGGATGCATATGGTCGATTAATTGTTTAATCAACTACGCTATTACCAGGGTTCAACAAACAATGTAATCTACTCGCCCGTGGCGAATACATTACACCCCGGAAGAGCCGGCGCAGAGCGATCTGAACATGGGCAGAGCGCAGAACCGTGTGGCTGGCGAGCAGGGCTCGCCGCCGCTCAGCGAGCCCTGACTATTACATCCCTGATACTAAGTCTTGCTGCTTAGTAGGTACTCCTGCACCTGAGGAATGGAAGTAGACAAAGGGTCCAAACTGGGCTGTAGTCATTAACGTGAAAACCGCTTCCATTTGACAGAATTAGTAAGCCTGGTAGAAGACTTCCGTCTAGCAAAGAAGGCCTGTTGAACTTACTCCAACCAGGCCAATTTAGCTGTAAAGCAACCACACCATGAGGTAAAGGGAACAGAGGTCTGGGTGGCAAAAACACCCATGAACCTGCGCAATGAGGTCCAGGATCAGAGGAAGTGGGATTGGCAGTTGCACTGACAACTCCAAGAGAGTGGGGTACCAGTGCAGACGACCTCATGCTGGAGCAATCAGGATAACATTCACCCAGTCTCTGGGGAGCTTGAGGACCACCTTGTGAACCAGAGGGAATGGGGGAAAACACATACAGGAGGCCAGCGTGCCACAGGATCAGAAGAGTGTCCACTATGGGCTGAGGTTCTAGAACAGGCAGAAATGTAGGAACTTCCCACTGGCCCAAGTAGCAAAGAGATTGAGTTGGGGAACTCCCCACTTCCTGAAAACGGCATGAAGGACATCCGTCTGGCCTGATGGACCATTTGTGGATGAAAAAACAGCAGCTGAGGCCATTTGCCAGCAAATTCTGGGCCCCAGGGAGGTAATAGGCTCCAGGTGAATAGAATGGACTATGCACTATTCCCACAAACGAAGCGTTTCCTGACAGAGGGAAGATGACCTGGCTCTGCCCTGTTTGTTGACGTAGTACATAGCAGTCGTATTGTCTAGGATGACTGCCATGCACTGACCCTGAAGATATATGGCTGAAAAGTGAGACATATGAGGCAGACTTCCTTGAGTCTGTATACATTTATGTGGAGTTGCAATTCGTCTGCATTCCATATCGCCTGTGGGGTGATGTCCCTGTGGTCAGCCCTCCAGCCCAAAGCAGACGCATCTGTGACAAGAGACCATGGTTTGCAAAGCGTGAAAAGGGAAGCTGACCATCACCGACTGGGGGTTCAACCACCAACGGAGGGCATAAATCATATAGTGTGGCACCACGAAAACCATGTCACACACACACCAATATGCCAACACCAGCCAAGACATGAGGCGACACAGGTAGAGCCTGGCAAATGGAAGTACAGGTTGTACCTCCCCAGGACTCCCTGGTCTGGCAACATCCGTGGTCCAGCACAGATCACAGATGTTACTGGACCAGAGAGCCCAGGAACAGGGAGGTCTGGTGGCAGGGTAGGAGCACTGTAGGGGGTGCCAGCAACTCAGCCAGGAGCCCAGTGCTGGGAGGTTAGGGGGAACAGGCAGCATGATGATGAGCTCCATCCCCAGTGGTGGCTGCAGAGCTCTGCCTCAGCCCCGTTCTGGCTCCAGAGGCCGGAGAGCTCCAGACCCAGCCTCAGCCGCAGCCAGGAACCTCTGGCCCTGGCTGCAGAACTCCAGCTCCAACCTTCTGCCCCAGCCCTGGGTATGCAGCTCTGGCCCCAGCCGCAGAGCCAGGCGGCTGTAGAGCTTTGTCCTGGCTGTAGAGCTCTGGCCACAGCGGGGCCAGTGACATCTAGTGAGCCTCAGGGAGCTGGGGCAGCAGCGGGGGGGCAGGCTGGAGCCCTAAGCCAGTGGCAACGTGGTCCAGGAGAAGGACCTCCCCTGATGGGGCAAATTCCTTCGTTCAGGACCAGTCAGGTCCCGAGGGTGCTGAACTAGCAAAGTCCAACCTATACATACATACATACATGTCACCATGTGCTCCATGAGCTCGAGACATGTCCTGGCTATGGACACCAGAAATTCAGCAAGTGACCACAACACCTGGGTCAGTGCCACGAACTGCTGTTCTGGCAGAACTGCCTGAAGGCATCGATCACTGTCCCATAATCTTGATCCACTGCGTGGGTATGAGGGTTCTCGGGAATGAGGAACAGGCCCAGTCTGACCAGAGTGCCTCAAGTGAAGGTGATGTGGGCTTCTACCTGCTCATGGGAGCAGCCCTGCAAAAACCAGTCATCCAGGTAGGGGTATACTTGAATAGCATGGCTGCTACCGCCGCCGCCACACATTTGGTGAATACCCGGGGTGTTGTAGAAAGCCCAAGAAAAGGGCAATAAACTCGAAATGGTTGTTGCCCTCTAAGAAATGGAGACAGTGCCTGTAAGATGGCTTGATCACTACATGGAAGTATGTATCCTTTAAGTCGAGGGTAGTGTACCAATCTCCCAGATCCTGGGAAGGAAAAATGGAGCTCAATGAGACCATCTGAAACTTGTACTTGTTGAGCTCTCTGAGGTCCAGGATGGACCTTAGACCCCCTTTGCTTTTGGAACAAAGAATTAATGGGAGTAGAAGCCCCTGCCCCTGAAATCTGCTGGCACCTCTGCCACTGCCCCAAGATCCAGGAGCTTGTACACCACACCTCCTGACGGAGAAGATGCTCATGAGAGGGGTCCCTGAAAAGAGATGGGCGTGGAAGGGAGCAGAATGGGATGGAGTAACCCATTTCCACCACCTGTCCAACCTACCAGTCTGAGGTGATAGTGGCCCAGGCCTGGTGGAAGAGGGAAAGTCAGTCATGGAAGGGAATAGGATCTGATATTATCAGTACTCTGTCCTCGGGCATACTTTCAAAAGGCCTGCTAAGACCCTGAGGAAGGCTTGGACTGTCCTTGGTTGTTATCAGTGTGTGGCCCAGATGGCTTACAATGGGGATACCTAGGCTGTCTGTGCGAAAAGTCAGTCCAGGGACAAGAGGGAAATGTCTGTTGTGAGGACTGCAGCTTGAAGGTCATATGCTGTGTTGAGGGAATGTGTGGTACTGGGAGCGCTGGGCTGGAATTGAAGGTGGTGTGCTATGCACTGAAGCATAAGGTACCATGTCTGGGTTTTGCGGATGCAAGGCGGACTTCATAAAGAGCTACTTAAGATGCAAGTCTGACTCCTTTCTGGTGCGATGAAGGCCTTGCAGATCTTATCTGCTTGGTGAGCTTCCCCCAGGCACTGAAGACCAGGCATCTTGGAGGTAGTTCATCAGCACTTACTTATGGCAAAAGCTGCAGGACTTGAATTCCTGGGATATTAGCATGCCCCAACCCCTAGAGCAGCTGTGGCCAACTCCAGGCTCACAAGCCGCATGTGAATTGCGAAGCCCCTCCCGTTGTTCCCAAACTGCACCTGATGCCCCCAAAATGGCCCTCTCCTCCTGGATCCCTGGGCTGACCTAGGCAGGGGAGCCATTCGGCACAACCATTAAAGAAGTAGAATTAAAGATGGTGTCAACCGGCTGGAACCTGATGTGGCCCAAAAAGCCTCTAAACACTAAACTTGGGTGAGAGGGGAAAACCCCTTCACTCCCACTGCTACAAATGCTAGCTACCTCCTAACTATTAATTATTCTCTCACAAACTAACACTAAAGGCCAGGGAGAATTTCAATGCAAGTGAGCCACAGTTCCAACAGCCATCGTTAGTGGTAAGAAAGAACTGAGGGACGGTTGGGTCAGAAAGGTCATATACATTGTTTCACCAGTGCCATTTCAAGGTGTTCCACAGCCAGTCCAACAGGTAGCACCTAGGGTAAAAATTTTCCAGCAGCCAAGAAATGGCACGCACACCCCTCAACTGGAATACATATGAGCAAGCACTTGAAGAATTGTGATTAATCAAAACTAATATTTTAATGAAGTTGATTTATTTTGCATCAATTGCTGGAGTTAACTGCAATTAATTGATAGCCCTAATGGAAATTTAGTTATGAGTTGGTGCACAGACGCCCAGATTTTCAAAGGAGTCAAGCTAGCTTCTAAATTTGTTCAGGCAGGTCAAGTAAACAGCATCATATGGTGCACCTGTAATTTCACCTGGACACAGAAAATAAAAATACCCATAATGAATGTGATCCTTTGATTCATCTGGTTTCATTTAGGCAATGGCCACTATACAGTGATCCAGAGAAAGGGGAAACATCCCTAACCGGGTTCTTGTAAGGCACCTAGTTACTTGTTGATGCTTTGTAACAGGAACAAGGAGGAAATCCTTTCATACCTGAGTTTTGATTTTCCCTAATATTAACAATATATTAACAATAACAAGTATTGTTATGAATATACCTTGTCCTTTAAAAAGATCCTGCTAAATTAATATGATTTATAATATATTTCTCAATAACCTTTTTTGCTCAGAAGTCAGTATGTTGGCAACATGCTTAGAAAAGTAGCATTTCATTTGACCGGTTTCAAATTTCCTGCTTTTTGGCTTCACAGACTACTCCTTGTTTTCAGATATTAGGGAAGACAAAGTTCTATTTAGCTATCTTGTCCCATTCACCACAATCAGTTAATGGAAATCTGCAGTACAAGTATAAAACTGAGTAAAGAGGAGAAAGCTCCAGATTCATTCTCATTACATTCTTAATGATTTCATATGCTATTATTACATTAAGATAGTGAGTTCTGTTACCTGCTCTTTATTGTTACTGTTCAATAGGCCAGGTTTCTTTTTCTTTTTAATAGGGCTCGTGGATGCATCTTGAGGGGAGTGGCCATTGGAAGAGTGCGGAGGGCTGGGAAACTTCCTCTTCTGTGCTGTGCGTTCGGCAGAGCCAGGATCTATAAAAAATAAAGTTAACACCTTTAGTCCATAATATACTTTCTGAAACATTTGCTGAAAACGCATCCTATTAAGAGCTACATAGCTCTGCAGTATACATTAGGGATGTGAACGCCTGGGCTCAATGGTTTACCCTCTTGGTTAGGCAGGAGCTAGTGTGCATGGGGAGCCAACTACTATGGAACCGCCTCCGCCCTCTGTGCTGCTGCCTCTGATACAGAAACAGCAGCGCGGGGGGAGGGAGGTGTAGCAAGAGGGAGCCAGTACACACGGGGAGCCAGCTTGCGTGTACCAAGCTGCCTGAGTCAACTCCCCCACCTACACTGCTAACTCTGATACAGATGCTTCTGTGAAGGGGGAAGAGGAGAAATGGGAGTCAGTGCTTGCGCGGAGCCAGTTTAAGAGCCAGCTCCCAGCATCCACTGCCTTCATCTCCCTCCCCTCGCCCCCATAAACATGTATCCATTGAAAAATTCAGAGGCTAGACTTTAACCCAAATCAATGCATTTTAACATCCCAACTTTGCATTTCTTTACTGAAGAGAGCACTATTTCTCCATTTCTTTTCAACAAGTGGTTGATAAAACTGGTAATGTCACATAGCTATGAGAGTCCATTCATATGTTAGAAAGTTTTTCACTTACACTCAGGATTACATTTATAATAAACTTTTCTTGTTTTAGTAAGTAATTCTGAAGTATAGAGGATAGTGATGAAGCATAGCAGTGAACTGTTCTTTGCTAGATTTATACCTGAAGTTTAAGAAGCAAAGATACAATATTTGTAATTTTTGATGGCACTAGGTCAAGTAACACAGTAGGAATCAGAGGCTATAAAGATGGAAGAGGAGAATAAAGAAATCACAAATTAATATGTAGTAAATGAGTAGTCCAGATGTTCCTCCCTTTCTTTCAGAGAACCTGAGACACTTTTGATAAAGAACAATATCACTTGTTTATTTGGTCCCTAAGTATATTATAAACTAGCAGATATACCCAGCATAGCTTGGGTGTGTAAGGGCACGTCCAGACCCTGTGAGAGGGGGAGGTGAATCCCCAAGCTTTGGCTGAAGTAGTGAGGAGGGGAAGACAGGGAATCCCCCCTGTGCAGGTGAAGTGGGAGTGGAGGGAATTGATAAAGAACAATATCACTTGTTTATTTGGTCCCTAAGTATATTATAAACTAGCAGATATACCCAGCATAGCTTGGGTGTGTAAGGGCACGTCCAGACCCTGTGAGAGGGGGAGGTGAATCCCCAAGCTTTGGCTGAAGTAGTGAGGAGGGGAAGACAGGGAATCCCCCCTGTGCAGGTGAAGTGGGAGTGGAGGGAATCCCCAGGCTC